ATATATGTATATATATATAAATATATATATATATATATATATATATATATATATATATATATATATATATATATATATATATATATATATATATATATATATATATATATATATATATATATATATATATATATATATTAATGAAGCAAATAAATCTTTGTAAAAAAAAAATACGAAAAACAAAATAAAATTAATTTAACTAAAACTAAAATAGCAAAAATAAAATTAAAACTTAACCAAAATAAATAATAAACTATAACGATAAAATTATATAGATTACATTTGGAATAAATAACTTTGAATAGTTTATCTTAACTAATGTTTTTATAATATAATATTATGCGAAACTCTTTTTAAATAAAGTAAATAAAAAATTATACAACTTTCAATGATACTTTATATATAATATATATATATATATATATATATATATATATATATATATATATATATATATATATATATATATATATATATATATATATATATATATATATATATATATATATATATATATATATATATGTATATATATATATATATTAATTATCTTCGCTTCCAACAAGGCTGCAAGCAACCACTAATAAGAGTTGGAAGTTACTGGAAGAGAAAAGATGAAGATTGTAGAGCAAGATAACGATTGACAGACGACTTAAAAGATTGCAAATTATATGAATCAGGAAAGCAAGATAAAGGAAGCGAATCCCAAAGAACTGATGTTTGAGGAAAAAAACTAGACGAATAAGAGTTTTTGGAGCACTTAGGAACAGTAACAGAAAAAGGATGAGACTTAATTGAATGACGTGTAACACGAGAATGAATTTTAGTAGATGGCACAAGAGATGCTAGCTCTTTCGAGCAGTGCCCATTATAGTATTTGTAGAAAAGAGAAAGAAAAGCAACATTACGACAATATGACAGATGTTGAAGGTTGGCTGCAAGAGCAGGTCCAACTATGTTTACAATGCTTTTTTGCACCTTGTCTAAAAGAGAAAGGGCATCATTAGAAGATCCGCTCCAGATATGGCAACAGTATTCCATACAAGGCTCGATTTGAGATTTATAGAGATAGAGAATAGAATCCAGAGTAAGAAAGTGACGAGTTCGATAAAGAGAAGCAACTTTAGCAGATGCTAATTTTGCAACAGATTTGATATAAGGTTTCCAAGAAAGATCAGAAGTAAGAGTTAATCCTAGAAGATGAAGGGTAGGAGACTCATCAAGTACATTACCGTTCATAAATATAGGAATGTCTAAATTATTGCAATAACGATTTGCCGAAAAAAAGTTGAGTTTAATCTGAATTAAAGTTCACCAGCCACTGTGAGCCCCATGCTGTAGCAGAAGTGAGATTCTTTTCAAGCTCAGATGCCCCCTGCAAGCAATCAGAGGGAGTTGGCTTCTTATTGTGACAAGAATAAATGGTAGTATCATCAGCGAACAATGCCAATTTATATGTGAGAATATCTGGAAGATCGTTAATGTAAATTAAAAAGAGTATAGGGCCGAGGATTGAACCTTGAGGAGCCCCTGAGGTTACAGAATAAGAAGAAAAGTGCTGTCCATCAAGGACAAGTTTGGCATGCTGGTCTTCTGGAAAAGACCAGCATGCCAAACTTTATCAAATGCTTTAGAAATGTCAAAAGCAATGGCCTTAACCTCTCCACCTTTATCTAATGCGCGATAAAACCTATTGGTTATTACTGATAGCAAATCAGCCATAGAACGAGAAGATCGAAATCCATATTGATGATCAGAAAGTAGGTTATGAGATTCGAGATAAGAGATTAAGTGTTTGTTAATTAAAGATTATTAAACCTTGCTTATGATAGGAAGAAGACTAATGGGACGGTAGTTAGACGAATCGGATCGCTCTCCAGAATTTTTAAATATAGGGATAACGGATGCTGCTTTCCAGCAGGCTGGAAAACAAGACTCTGATAAGCACTTATTAAATAGTTTTGAAAGGATAGGCGACAGCTCCGGAGAACACTTCTGCAAGACTATAACAGGTATGTTGTCTGGGCCGCAAGCTGTAGAAGAGTCTAAGTGGGAAATCACTTTAGATACAGAAGCTGGAGTGATACGAATGTCGAGCAATGGATCAACCTGTTTGACGGCTATATCAGGTAGAACGCAACTAGTGGCATCAAGACATGATATTGATGAAAAGTTCTGGGCAAACAATTCAGCTTTGTCTTTAGGTGAGGTGACAAAGTCTGAACCATACAAAAAGGTGGAATTACAGACTTGCCCTTATTTTATATATATATATATATATATATATATATATATATATATATATATATATATATATATATATATATATATATTCATATATATTCATATATATATATATAGTATATATATATATATATATATATATATATATATATATATATATATATATATATATATATATATATATATATATATATATATATATATATATATATATATATACGTATTTTTTTTTTTGCATTCTTAATATTATGAAAATACCCTTATAAAAATATAGTAAAGCCACACCTGGCCTTGGTACATAATTATACCCGGGGTAAAAAATTAATAAAATTTGGCTAATTTTGCAATAAATTGACCCTATTCAACCAATATTACAATTTGGTAACATATAACCAAAAAATGATATTTTACTATCTCCAGTTTATTTGGCATCAAGGTTTAGTAATTCTTAGGGTTGATATTTAAATAATTTTTTTATTTTCAGAGAGGTCAATATTATTTATAGTAGCATTGCAGTTTTGGTCTACTATTTTAAGAATGTAAAATGTTATATCAAGGCATTTTTTTTTGGATTATGTTCAGTAATTTACATGATGTGGGAGTTCAATACATTTAAAAAGGGCAATTTAAAACAAAATTTCCTTTTTATATTTTAGTATCGGTATCATTGAAGTTTTAAAAACTTTTATAAACAATATAAGAAAAATTTTATAAAATAAGAAAAAATTTATAATATTGTTTATTTAGTGAAAAATTTTTACAAAGGTGATCTTGAACTTCACCTAGAAATAAACAAATTAAAGCAAGTGATTCTTTTTAAATTATTTTTAGAAAAAATTTATGTAATTTTTCATCAGTTAAATAAAAAGCAATTATTTTTGCAAACTATATCAGATAATTTGGAAATAAAGATACTGAAAATTTGGAAACAAAGATACTGAAAATTTGAAAATAAAGATACTGAAAATTGGCCACATTTTAAGCAAAATAGGCAGTATGCAATTTAAAATCTATTTTGGGTGTTTGGTGGGCTTATTTACCTCTATCCATATTTAACACAGAAATTTAACAACAGAAATAAACAACACCATTTCAAACAATAATATAAACAAAAATAATGGTCTAAAAAAAAAAAAAATTCTGTGACTGAGCAATAGCTCAAAATCTCATTGTTCACACTAAAATTACTGACACATAAAAAATCTAATTGCTCATACTAGAATCACAGGCACATAAAAAGATTTATTTTAAAGTGTCTTAGTATAAATTTCTTGTTTGAACTTTAAGTCAAGTTAAAAGTGAGCAAGGGATACTATCATATCCAGGGAAAAAAAAGCAAAAACTATTTTTGTCAATGTCCTCAATTATTATTTAAGTATAAAAAAAGTTATCTAGAGCAAGAGCTAGAAGTAGCATTCCAATGCCAGCTACAATGAGTGCTGGGTGCTCAGTTCCAAATTTATATACCTAACTTATACACCCACTCAATATCAGGTTTTATGTACAGCATATCTGATTTAAATTTAAAGAATTTAAGCTGTTAGTTACAAATAAAATAAAATTAATAAAGGTTAAAAATAATTTTAATGTAACTTTATTTATATATTTTTTGTAATTTAGTAATTGTTTTTCTTTTCTTTTTTTCAAATTCAAAAGTGGTGGAGGGGGAGAAGAATATGCTCATGTGCTCAAATATGTCCAAAACTAATCATTAAATAGCACTATACCAAAGTTTTATTCAAAATGAATCCAATACTTTTTAGTAATAACAATCAGTACAATAATTAATTTACAATATTACAAGTAATCTTGAAAAATATTAAAAGAATGTTTAAAGTTAAATTAATTATATACAATTAAAAATTTTCTTTGAGTATTAATGTCCATTTTGCCATTAAGTCAATATTTGTGAATAAAAGAGGGACTAAGCCTGAAGCTAAGTTCCTCTAGCAAATATCTATTGGAAATCCAAATTTTAGGAATATTTTCCGAACCAAAAATGTCAAAGTTGCTTTATTTTGTTTTTATCACTAAAATAGTTATTATTCAACTGTTTTTAAAACACTTAAATAATTGTTTTAAAAACAAATTTTTATCATTTCAATGCTGAATCAGCTTTGTTTTAAGTGACAGTATCATAAAAACTGTTGTATAATTTGAGCTAATATTTTTGCAGTTATTCATTTAATATCGACTGTAAATGGTTTAAAATAAAATGATGTAAATTATGTAAATGTAATATGGAATAAAAAAATGAGATAAAAGCAGTTTTGAAATATAATGGTTTCCAAAAAAATTCCAAAGATTTTTGGATTTTTTTTAAAGAAGTTTTTTTTTTCCCCAAAATGTTACACAACATGAAATGTTTTTATTGATAAGTATAAAAAGAGTAAAGTAAATAAATTGTGAAATAAAAAAAAATAAAAAAATTGAAAACATTTAATAATGAAGAGCAGATGTCAACTGCTGGCAGGGTTGGCAAAAACCCGGGTTTTTTTAAAAAAACCCGGCCCAGTGGGTTTTTTTGGGTTTTTTTGGGTATTATTGGGTATTATTGGGTTTTTTTGGGTTTTTATTTTTTTTAATTTTGTTAAAAAATTTTTTTTGTTTGTTTAATAATATTGAAAACTAATATCATTTTTAACTTATTTAAGTTTATTTTTAATTATTTAAGTTTATTTAGAATATATTTTATAAGTTTTTAAAATTTATACACCTCAAATTATTTTCAATAAGTTTTTTTTAATCATGATAAACCTATATGCATTGATTTATTTTAGATTTAATAATAATATTTTTTATAATTAAAAATGCCGATGGGAAGTGGAAGAAAGAAAGCTGGAGAATGGGATGAAGTGACTGAAGTTGAAAACAGTACAAAGGTTTCTTGTGACTATTGTCATGCTTTGATTAGCAACAAGATAGAACGAGTAAAACCCCATTTAAAACATTGCCAAAAAAAGTTTAAGTTTTTACACAAGCATACAGAAAGAGAAAATCTCAATTTGTCAAAATATTTAAATAAAAATTGTGATGATGTACCAAATAATGATTTAAATATTAGTGCATCTGCTCTAATAGATGGACCATCATCTCCAATAGCTGGACCATCAGCTCAAGTTGGAAAAAGTTCTTTGGCATCTGTAAGTTCTATAAGTTCGTTAACACCTTGTAAGAAGCAGCGGTTGATGTCATCGTACACAATATCAACTAATCTGGAACAGAAAGAAAATATTGATATAAAGATAGCAAAATTTTTCTTCAGTGCAAATGTATCATTTAAAACTTCTGAAAATCAAGAATTTATAGACATGATCAGTTCATTGAGACCAGGATACAAACCACCTAACCGTAAAATGCTAGGAGGAGAGCTCTTAGAAAAAGTTTATGAGGAAGTAAACAAAAAAATGATGGATCAACTTACCCAAGAAGAGAAAACAATAACAATTATGCAAGACGGATGGAGTAGTGTTACTAATGATCCCATTATTGCTCACAGTGCATATGACGGACTTAATTCTAAAATTTTATGCATTACTGATTGTGCATCAAATAAAAAAACAGCCAAGTATTGTACCGAACTTCTTTGTAATGTCATTAAAGATCTTAAAGAAACATACAATAAAGAAGTATTTGCTGTGGTAACAGATAATGAAAATAAGATGAAAAAAATGAGGGATTCAATCAAAGAAACGTATCCAAATCTTTTAACATAGGGTGTTCTGCACATTATTTAAACCTTTTAGAAAAAGAAGTAACACACCCAGATGTCATCAAACATGTGGTTGAAGTGCAGAAATATTTTCGTAATACACATCAACCGCATGTAAACATTATTTTGTATTTGTGGGTTAAACTTAGAGTATAAAAAATATATAAAAGTTTAAAATTAACTATTCAATTTTTATTTTAAGGGATGGTTGCGTGAGAAAGGAGGGCATATGCCTCAGTTACCAAACGATACCCGATGGAACTCCCAAATTGACTGTATAGAAACATACATAAAAAACTACCAAATTTATGTAGAAATAGTAGATAATCATGATATACCTATCAAAATCAGAAAAATTATTGAAAATCGAGCAATATTTAGAGAAGCTAACAGTCTTCAAACCCAACTCAAAATATTTGGTGTTGTTTTAGATCAAGTATTTAATTTTTTTATATTAAAGTTTTTTTACATAATAAGATTTTGTAGGTGTAAAGGAAAAGTAATAAAAATAAATATATTATGTTAATTAAATAAATTAAAAATTAAATTTTTTCTAGATGCAAAGTGACAGCTGTCACCTATCCGAATGTGTTGAGTTGTGGCTCTCACTTCTGAATAACCCTGAACTAAGTCATTACCACACAGCTATCAAAAAGAGATGTAATGATGCTTTGACACCTATCCATTATCTTGCATACATGACCAATCCTCGCTTTTTGGGTAAAAATAAGTTTTGCTTAAAAAAAAAATTGTTTTCACACCTATATGATAATCTGAATTTTTTTTTTATAGGCAAAAACCTGCCGATTGAAAATGAAGATGAGGCTGAAGAATGGCTTTACAATCATTATCCTGATTTTGTACCTGGGTTGATTTTGCTTAAATTAAAGGATTGTGATGCATTTCCTAAAAGGATGTTGAGTAATCAAATTATATCAACAATATTGTGCAGTGATTGGTGGTCTATCATTAACCAGAGAAATGAAAAATCAATTCAGAAAAAATTGCCTGAAGGATTTTGCAAATTTATTTCTAAACTTCAAACGTGCCCTGCTAGCTCAGGATCAATAGAAAGAATATTTTCTTCATTTGGTTTTATTTGGTCAAAAGTTAGAAATAAATTAGGATGTGAAAAGGCTAAAAAGCTTGTGCAAATATATAAACAGTATCAAAAATAGTTTATAGTTTATGTTTTTACATAAGAGTTTATGCTTTTACAATATAAAGTGAATATTACATTAAAGTAAAGTTGTATTTGCAAGAAGTATACCAAAAATGTAAATAGTCTTGTCAATGTGTATCTATTCTAAAAAATCTTATTGAATGAATCTAATTTGTTTGGTTTCCAAAATAAAATTGTGTTAAATAAAAATGTTGTGTTTAAATTGAAAATTTCCCTTTATAGTTAGCTCTATAATATGTTTATGTTTTCAGAAATGTTGGTTAATAATAGTATATATTATTAATATAATAGTTCATAAGTTTTTAGATATATTTCAAAAAAACCCAGATTGCCTGGGTTTTATTGTGTTTTTTTAGGCGGGTTTTATTGGGTTTTATTGGGCGGGTTTTATTGGGCGGGTTTTTTAATGCCAACCCTGACTGCTGGACCTCTAATGTATTCTAACTAATGTAGAAACTGATGTCTACAGAATGTAGAAACTGATGTCTACAGAATGTAGAAACTGATGTCTACAGAATGTAGAAACTGATGTCTACAGAATGTAGAAACTGATGTCTACAGAATGATCAAATTTATAGTTATACAGATGAAAGTTAAAAAATGTTAAATTATTTTATTATTATGTTGAATTATTAAGTGTACATTAATGTTTGAAAAAATACTTCAGAAAAATAATTTTTTTTATATATTAAGTTTTATTAAAAATTACTGTTTATAAAAGTTATTAAGTTTTAATTGATATTAAATTAATTTTAATACAATGCGTATTAAAATTAATTTAATATCAATTAAAACTTAATGACTTTTATAAACAGTAGTTTTTAATAAAACTTAATATTTAAAACTTTATTAGTTATTTAACTGTAATGTCTGTTAAAAAAAATTATATATTTTTTTCTGTACCCTGTTTTTTAAAACTATTATTTCAAAACCAATTTTATCAACATTTTTTATCAACGTAGCATATTTTATCAACGTAGCATATTTTATCAACATAGCATATTTTATCAACATAGTATATTTTATCAACATAGCATATTTTATCAACATAGCATATTTTATCAACGTAACATATTTTATCAACATAGCGTATTTTATCAACATAGCATTTTTTATCAACATAGCAAAAAAAATGTAGCAGTAGAAGTGGTGTAACACCTGAGTGTTACACCACTCAGGTGTTATACCACTATTTAACTACATACAATCACTAATATTATAGATTGCTACTCAGTTTTTTTATTAAATCATTAATCCTTAGTAATATAGATAATATATAATATACAAATAAAAATTAAAATATAAAATATATAATAACATACAAATTTATTTAACTTTATTATTATTTATTATTATTTATTATTTAACTCTATTATTTAACTTTTTAAAAAGGCTGAATTGCGAGCAAATGTATTCATTGCACTTGAAGAACAAAATTCCAACTTGCAGGTAAGTTATATTTAAATAATTTATCCAATATAGCAGTTACTAACTACTTCTATATACAATTTATACAATTGGTTTAAGAAACTTCAAAGGGATCTCCAATTGTCGAAATAAGTTGTGTTCATGTTGAAGAAAATGTTTAAAAAAAAATGTCTGGACAAAATTTTTTAAATTAAAGTTTAATATTAAATGCGTATCAATAAAACTAAAATTCTTGTTTTAGTCGAAACTTGCCTCCATTTTTTCTTGGTTCTCGAAGTCTTTATAATATATGCTGCAATCTGCAGACTGCATAATTTATTTCATTTGCATTTAATTCAAAATAGTTTCAGTATATGACGTTATTGTAGATTTTTTTAAAGATATCGTAGTGTTTTTGCCACAATTAGCAAATCATATGTTTTTTTATAATTTTTTTATTAAATCCAAAAAAATTTTTGTAATACAATTAAAATTAAATAATATATTTGGTTTTGGGATTTCAGTAGCGCAAATTGTTTTTAACAATTATAAGTATAAATCTTTATTTAGATTTTTATATTAAAAAGTTAGCATACTTTCACATTTTAACAAAATATTTATTATTTGTCCGTGTATGAATATATTATATCAAATTTATTTTGTAAAGTTTGTTTATTTTATCTACTTGAAGTTTTCAAAGTGATAAAGTTTTTTTTTTACGTGGTTATACGTACACTTGACTGCAACTACTTAAGTAAACATAAAATTTACAACAATATTATGTAAGGTAGCTATTAATAAACAACAATATTAGTTAAAAAACATAAAACTACTTTAAATAAAACATTTAAATTTAAATAAAATGGTGTCCCAATGGCGGATTCAAACTCCTAATTTTGAGACTACCGTGTCTCAAAATTAGAGCGTTATAACATCCACTGCACACTAATATTATGTCTAATAGGAAAAAATAATGCATTCAATCATGTTTACATTTATACAATCAACAAATAATGTTTGTTTTTATTATTTTACTTTAATTTGCTTATTTGATGTTTTTAAAAAACATCAAATAAGACAATTGTATATAGAAGTAGTTAGTAATTGCTTTGGTACCTGTATATGCTTTGGCATATACAGGTACCAAAGGTGTTTAAAATAAAGGCTGAAATTAGTCAAATTATAAAATATAATTTTCTAATAATTTTCTAATAATTTTCTTCAGAATAACTTTCAGACATTTAACAAGGTGGTTACCCCTTGCCATACAACCTTAAACTTTAAAAAATTGCAACTATTTATGTTACATGGGATAAATTTTGGGTTATGGGATAAAGTCCTTGGTATAAATTTATTCTACATAAAATCACCCAACATTTATGAAAAATGAAATCATGTGTCCATGGGTTATTTTTTTTAAACTTCTTCAGCTGTAACTTAAAAAATACGGTTCCTGAGATACTTCCATTTTAATAACGATCTAAAATGACCTGGTATTCTACTAAGTGCAAAATATGAAAACAAACATGTATGCTTTTTTGATGCAGAAAACAATAAATGTACTTAAAAGACTTAAGTGTGAAATGAACTTAAAAATAAAGCTTAAAAATTAATAAAACAACGTTTTTATATAACACAACTTTGATTAATTTTTTAATAAATTACTATAAAGTAATTGAAAAAAAAAATTGCCAAGAGAAATCTAGCTGATACAATTAAGAGTTTTTTCATTAAGCTATCAACCAATTTCTTGCATTTTTAAAATATTTTTGTTTTCTGGTATGTTCCAACATAAAAAGTTGGATAACTATTAGAAGATGTTTCCTCATTATACATGTTACTTGGGTTACTATTAGGAGATGTTTCCTCATTAGCAAGACTTTTTTTAGGGAATAAGACAGCAAAAAGTTTAAAATTTTTAAATAAGCACACTGTCTATGCTAAAACCCCTATTTAAAATATGAACGTTCCAATGTTTGAAGTAGCACAATTAATAATATAAAATGATTAATAAATTATTAACTTTAATTATTATTAAAAAGTTAATTTATTGCAATGTTTTAATAGAAAAGATATAAACTAGGCTGTGTAAATAAAAAAGTAGAATCTCAGATTATTTAAACACCTTTGTGTTTAAATAATCTGAGATTCTGAGATTCTGTTACTTGCCAAAGCCACCTAATGACATTTAAAAAACTAAAGAACATAGTTGACCATCGAGATTCTGAGATTCTGTTACTTCTGCTACAGCATGGGGCTCACAGTGGCTGGTGAACTTTAATTCAGATAAAACTAAATTTTATTCGGCCAATCGTTATCGTAATAATTTAGATCTTCCTATATTTATGAATGGTAATGTACTAGATGAGTCATCTACCATTCATCTTCTAGGATTAACTCTTACTTCTGATCTTTCTTTTAAACCGTATATCAAATCCATTGCAAAATTAGCATCTGCTAAGGTTGCATCTCTTTATCGAGCTCGACACTTTCTTACTCCAGATTCTATTCTCTATCTCTATAAATCTCAAATCCGTCCCTGTATGGAATACTGTTGCCACATCTGGGGCGGATCTTCTAATGATGCTCTTTCTCTTTTAGACAAGGTGCAAAAACGAATTGTAAACATAGTTGGACCTACTCTTGCAGCCAACCTTCAACCTCTGTCACATCGTCGTAATGTTGCTTCTCTTTCTCTTTTCTACAAATACTATAATGGGCACTGCTCTAAAGAGCTAGCGTCCCTTGTGCCATCTACTAAAATTCATTCTCGTGTTACTCGCCATTCAATTAAGTCCCCTTCTTTTTTCTATGACTGTTCCTAAGTGCTTCAAAAACTCTTATTCTTCTAGTTTTTTTCCTCGAACATCAGTTCTTTGGAATTCGCTTCCTTCATCTTGCTTTCCTGATTCATATAATTTGCAATCTTTTAAGTCATCAGTCAATCGTTATCTTGCTCTACAGATTTAGTCTTTTCTCTTCCAGTAACTTCCAACTCTTATAGTGGTTGCTTATATTCCAACTCTTATAGTGCAGCCTTGTTGGAAGTGAAGATGTTAAAAAAAAAAAAAAAAAAAAAACTTGTAAAAGCCACCTAATGACATTTAAAAAACTAAAGAACATAGTTGACCATCGTTCCTACTTGTGTTTTAAGTATGCTTTATTAGTAGTTAGTATAAAAAGTTGATTGGACTTTTGAATGTTACTTGTGTTTATTAGTAATTTGTATTTGTTCAGTTTTTATTGTTCAGAAGTTCTGTCAGGTTAGGTTATCCTGCTACTGGTAACATTATTTTTACATTACTTACTGGTAACATTACTGGTAACCCAGTATAACCTGCTTCATGTTCTGCTGTCTTGTAGGATATGCTTTTTTTGGCAAAGGTTAATAGAAGCCAACTCCGACATAAAACACCTCCTGCCTTGGGGCTCTTGGTTAAGTAAAGGCTAGTGATGATGTCTCAATAAAAATACTCATCTCGGGCAGATGTTAAACTCATCCGGCTACAGTTTTGAAGAAAGCCTTCTAGGCAAAGACTTAAGAAGTAAACAGATTCTATCTGTTGACCAGCCTCACACCCCTTATTCATCAATTAGGCTGGCATAAATGTATTTATAATACATTGTTTCCAGTTTAGAATGTTGATTTCTGGATCTTCTTGACTCAATGCATGGGTTTTGCTCGTGTCTCTGTTTTTATGACTAAGCAACATATTCAATTATCTCCTTATGAAGGTACAGCTCTAAAACTCAGTTTTATGGTTCTGAGGCCGGTTGGTAGTCAGGTTTCCTGAACTCTATTGCAGCTCTCAGAGAGGTTGATTCTATCAACAGCTGTAAAACATCATTGTACTAACAGTGCCCTGTTGCGCATGGATGGTGTCCTGTTCATACTTATGGTGTGCATTGTCGTGGCCACATTTGGAGCCCTTTGTTAGGGCTTAGGGTTTATTAATAGTAATGAGGCATTTGCTTGGAGTACTTAATAGTGTACTAAGTACTATTTGTGCTTTGAGTCAAGTTCTTTAACAAATTAAAAATGATTAAAGTAACAAAAACTATAAAACATAAAAAACCATCATCATCACCAAGTTCTCTAAATCTATAATTCACTAATATTCATGGTCTTTGAAGTAACTTTTCTTCTGTTGAGTCTTATCTCAAAGTTCACCAGACCTACTTGCTCTACTGAGATTAGTTTGAGTTTGGCTGTCTCATCTTGTAGTCTTAGTATCAATGGTTATCTTTCTTTAATTTGTAAAGACTCCATTAGTCACATATTTGACCTGGGCATCTACATTTGTAAGAATTCACCCAATTGTCAGGAAGCTAGGTTTGAATCCACAGACTATTCTTTTGTGTGCTTTTGTTTAGCACCACTTCAGTCTTATCTTTCTCTTTGTTCTATATTGCTCTTACTTCATCTTAAGGCTGCACTTGTTTTGTTATTTCTGATAAAATTGACCAAACCCTTTCTCTTTATTCTTCACCCAATATCATTGTTGTTGGTGATTTTAATGCTCATCACACTGAAGTGACTCTGCAGAGTCACTGACACTAGAACATCTCAATCTCTAACACAAATAGTCAATTTTCCAAATCACTTTTCAGACAATCGGAATCATTTAACTTCTCTACTCAACTTATGTCTTGTTTCTGATCTAATCAGTGCAAAGTTTCTCTACATTCACCTTTAGGTGCTTCTGATCTCTCTAAAACTATTATCTCATTCTTTTTCATTATCAGAATCCCCCTATTATTGTACCTCTTACAACTACCTTAAAGCTGACTAGAACTCTTTCCGTGATTTTTTTCGTGATGGTCCTTTAGTAGAAATCTTTCGTCTTCCTGCTGATGAATGTGCTTCTTACATAACTTTTTGGATTCAGGCTGGTATGGAATCCTTTATTCCCTCTCGATGATTCCAGGTCAAGCCTCACTCTTTTTAATGGTTTCCTCTTATCGTGCTGCTGCAATTTCCAATTGTAACAATTGTTTTCATATCTATCAGCAAATTAATTCTACAGAAAACAAATGTCTGTTTACTACTGCTAGAGACCAATGTAAAAATGTTTTGTCAAACACCAAAGCCTGGGTCATGAAATTTCATATTTCATCTAAAAAAATTAGGCTCTCGAATTCTAGAATATCTTTGACAGTATCTATAGCAAGGGCAAACCTGTTATTCCACCTCTCTTGTATGGTTCAGATTTTATCACCTCACCTAAAGACAAAATTGAGTTGTTTGATTAGAACTTCTCATCAATATCATCTCTTGATTTCTTTAGTCATGTTCTACCTGATATAGCAGACAAACAGGTTAATCCATTGCCTGACCTCCTATGCTTTCACCTCCTAAAAAAGTTTGCTCTCACCTCCTATGCTTTCACCTCCTAAAAAAGTATGCTCTTATCTTCTAAATGCATTCTGTATAATGAAATAACACAGGATTTAAAGGTTTTTTAATAAAAATATTTTTAGGGGTCCTCCAAGACCCTTGAGCAATTAATGGGTCTCTAATATTATCAAAAAAATAAATAAATAAATAAAAAGACTGATTTCATTTTTAGTTGAAAAATGTCAGTTTTTATGTGGTAAAATCTAAAACAATAAATTTTTTGTAAAGTTATAATCATTTTTAAAACTTTGTACAATTTCTCTTTATCTAAGACCCAACAACTTGGGATCTGTTTCAACATTCACTAACTTTCAACTGATGCACACATGTTAAAAGATTATATTTTGATTGTTAACTTTCAACTGATGCACACATGTTAAAAGATTTTCATTGTTAAATTAGCTGTATTATTGAATTCCGTGTTTGCACAACAACAAAAAATTATTAACAAATAGTGTCAATAATACACTTTTTATTGAATGTCCTAATAAAAAAGTAAACAAGCAATGAAATTATCATTTCACGCTAATAAGGCGTAACTTATTATGTAAAAAAGAAATAAATTTGTTTTATGCTGTTTTAACTTGGAGCAAATGGAGCAAATAGCAATTTAATTATCAGTGGATTAATGGAAAATGATTATCTTTAAATCTTATCTTTAAAAAAAATCTTATCTTCAAAATTATCTTTAAAAATATGGAGGTTTGTGGTAAAAGTATGGAGACAATTGATGCAACACATAAAAAATTGTTTTCAAAAAGGTGTGGTCTTGTTGGCATATGAGGACAGAACTTAGGCTCAGGTGTTGGTTGTCATAAAATCTACTAAAAATGATTGAACCAATGAATGGTATCCTAATATTTTCAAAAATGCACTTATCTAGTTATGATTTATTAAAGGTGGATCAAAAATTTTAACAAGCTTTTTTAACAAGAGAGTGCTCCATCATATATTACATTCAATCACTGATTTTGTTGAAAGCAGTATTTAACTTGATTACTCAACTTAATCTTGATAGAAAATTTATGGTGCTGAATTAATTATTAACTAATAGAAAAGCAAAGAACTAGTCATGAAATGTTCAAAAAGGTTGCAAGAAAAATATAGTTAGAAATTCCAATCATCATAGTTTAAATTTAAAATTATCGAGGTATCCTCGTGGATAAAAATCCTTTTATTCCAAAAGTGATAGTGCACTTGCAATCTGTCTACTAATACATTGAGTTTATACTAATAATAGATTGTTTAAATTAATAATTGATTGTTTTTATTTATGAATTTTTTTTTCAAGTTTTTTTCAATTTCAATCAATTACATTTAGAAGAAAACTGTATCAAACAAAGAATTTAAAGCTTTTTTAGAAACAAATGAAGGTACTTAAATATTTTTTGTTGTTTACCTGAAAAAAAATTGTTTATAAGTTTGAACTTTTACTTTTTATAAATATATACTAACTTACTAACCCTCTGGTTGGATTTTGTCTGACTAGGAAGTTGGCTTAATATTTGACCCAAACCTTCTGGCTATTCTAAAGTCTAGTCAAAATATGGCATAAGTTTGGCTAGATTTTGAATGGCTAGGAAGTTGGGCTAAATATTGATCTAAAATTTCACCATTTTTTATACTTTAAAGAAAATAAAAGGTTTCACACCATTTGAACATCTGCTCAACCTAATTGATCACAACAATAAGAGTAGTTGTATTTCTTTATCATAGTTATTTTGTAGTTTTGCTTTGTGAGCTTTTATATTGCAAATTAATTTTATCATTATCTCCCATTGCCAATCAATTAAAATCATCTATTTTTTCAATATGTTGAGGCTAAATATATTTTTGGAAATATAAAATATTTTTTTGTCATTGTCATTTATTTTTTAATATTATTTTTATTGTTATATTATTAGACATTGTCACGAGGTTACGCGGCATAACGAAGCATAAATATAAATGTAATTTTACTCAGCATTGATATTTATTATTGATGTCACGAATAGTGATTTTGCCAAATACCAAATATTCGGCTGCTGAATATTTGGCAACACTTAACTATTTTAAGAATGGCAGTCTGCTTTATTAAAGTGCATATTTTAACTACTCTGTGTTTTTGTTTCATTTGTGACTAGATTTGGGAAAGAGTCTAGATGGGAAAGAGCTTGAACCTCTTTCCCATCGTCGTAAAGTTGCATCTCTTTCTCTTTTCTACAAATACTATCATGGTCACTGCTCAAAGGAGTTATCATCTCTAGTTCCATCAACTGAAATTCATTCTCATTTTACTCGTTATTCAGCTAAGTCTCATTCGTTTACTGTATCTGTCCCTGCATGCTCTAAAAACTTTTATTCATCTAGTTTTTTTCCCCGCACTTCAATTTTTTGGAACTCTCTCCCATCTTCATGTTTTCCTGACTCATACAACCTTCAACTTTTCAAGTCTTCTGTCAACCGTTTCCTTGCTCTATAACTCTGTTCTTTTTTTTTTTCCTAGTAACTCCCAACTTAATAGTGGCTGCTTGCAGCCTTGTTGGGAGTGAATGCAAATAAATAAAAAAAAAAAAAAAAGATAGATATAGCAGATAAAACTTATTTAAAATGATATTTTGACTACAACTTGAATCTAGAGCATGGTTTAACTTTAATGAGAATGTCAATTATACAGCTGCCTTTTTTTTGATATACATTCCAAAACTAATTTCAAGGGAATAGTTTAAACACAATGAGCAAAAAAAAAAAAATTTAATGCTTTGGGAAAGATTGTGATTTGTGGCGCATATCACAATCTTTTTCAGTGAAAGATTAAGTCAGCGAAAGGTTAATTCCTCTGAGAGTGTACGTAGTGAATGGTTATTTTTGACAGTATGAATAAATTATGAGAAAAAGCACATTTATTTGCTATCATTAAACTATGTAAACGTTTTTATCATAACATACCACCTAAAGAGTTTAAGTATCAATTATGTCAATTGTTTGTTAAAATTAAAAAGAAATAAAAAAATAGTTAAATGTAATTCTTTTTTTTCGTTAAAAACTGGTATTTGGTATTCAGCCAAATAGTTTGCAATATTCAGCTGAATACCAAATAGTAAAAAAAGTAGCAGAATACTAAATAGACACTGAATATTCGTGACGTCATTATATTGCATCAGAAATAGTAAGTGACCAGCTAAAAATGAGACTTTTCTCAAACACGGCCCCGGCTTAACTAAGATTATCGGGGGTTGACAGCCGGGGCTAGAAAAAATTTTATAATACTTTATATATTATAATTTTATGCTTACATTTACTATTTATTAAATACTGGCATATATTTATAAATTCTAATTTACTTCCAACAAGATTGCAAGCAAACACTATTAAGTTATGAATTACTTTAAAATTGAGAATAAGTAAAAATACTAGGAAATGGTTAACTGAAGACTTGAAAAGTTGAAGGTTGTATATAAAAGAAAAAGACGATGGCTAATAGTTATAAGGTTTTTTTGATGTGCAAGAGAAAAAACTAGATTAATAAAATTTTTATAGCATGAAGGATAAAAGGATGCAACTTGTTGAATAAGAAACTAGCAAGAATGAGTTTTGGTTTATCGTAATAGAGATAATAGCTTGTTTGAGCATTGACCATGATTGTATTTTTAGAAAAAAGAAAGAAATGCAACCTTAAAACAATTAGAAGAATGGCTTAAGCTTGGCAGATAAAGCAGATCTAGTTTATTGTTATTACTTTTTTTTATGTTAGTTCACCTCCCCATAGCTAGAAACCCCACTACAGACGAGGAGGCTACTAAATTGTGGTTATAACCCTCTCATAACTATATAACTCTGAAACACGAACCTTGACAACAAGGACTGTTGCGCAGAGAAACAAGTTGAGCGCGGTACTACCAGGGATGTGATGGGGATTGAATTTGGTACCTCTTGCTTATGACGCAAACGCTTTACCACTACACTATGACTGCATTACATTTACAATGTGCTTTTAGGCTTAGTGTGATAGTAAGAGGGTAGAGATGGTATTTTTAGAGTAAGAGGTTTGTTATTCATCAATATAGGAATACCAACATTACTGCAATATGTTTGTGCAGTAAATAAATGAGTTTTGTTGTCTAACAAAAATTGCAGATTTTAAGTCCAGAATTTAAATCCATAACCACAGTAAGCCTTAGGCTTTTACAAAAGAGAAATCAAATTAAAAATTAGCTGCTTGTTTTAAGCAATCAAAAAGTGAAGATTTTTATCAAGACAAGAGTATAAAGTTGATTCGTCAACAAATAGAGCCACTTTAGATGTTCATTAAGATTGATACTGTAGATAAGAAACAGGAACAAAGATTGCGGTACTACCAGAGACGTGGTGGTGATCAAACTTGGTACTTATCGTTTCTGGCACAAGCGCTCTATCACTACACCACAACTGCATTACATTTACAATGTACTTTTAGACTTTGTCTGAGAGTAAGAGGGTTGTTATTCATCAATATAGGAATACCAACATTATTGCAATATTTTTTTGCAGTAAATAAATGAGTTTTGTCTAAATTTAATAAATTTAAATCTGATTTCTCTTATGTAACAGCCTTAGGCTGTTACATAAGAGAGATTAGATTAAAAATCAGCTGCTTGTTCTAAGCAATCAAAAAGTGAATATTTTTTTCAAGACAAGAGTATAAAGTTTAGTCGCCATGAATTTACATCAATGTCATTTGTCTTTACTTTAATAAATGAGTTTTATTTATCTTTACTTTAGTTAATGACATCAGTGTCATTTACCTCAATACATTAGTTAATGACTTTAGATGTTAAATTTTCATGAAGATTGATATTGTAGATAAGAAACATAACAGGAGCAAAGATTTAAGGGTACCACAAGATACCTTGTGATACCCTTAAAGTTACTTGAAATAAAGAAGATTGTAGGCCTTCAAGAATAACTTTATTACTGCAGTTAGTAAGAAATAATTTAATAATCTCAAAACTCTTATATAAAGAAACTAATAACAGAGTGAAGACTTATTGTAGGATAGTTAGAGAGGTCAAAGTGTTTTCTAGAGTTTTGAAAAATTGGAACCTCTTATTGAGCACTTTTTAAAAATTATTGTTAAATATTATATAATTAATAAGATTAAATGTTAGACTTTAGTTAATCATGTTGTTGAAGACTAACCAAAAGTCTCTAGAACCTAACATCTAATATAAGATACAAGATTTAGTAAGCTGAGAATAATAGAGCTTAACATCAGTCGGGGCTTTTTTACATTGGCTTCTTGGAATAATAAAAAGACATTAGTTCTTAAGAGAGATGTTCTTGTAAAAAAGATGAAATAAATGATAAATAAAGCAACTGCTCAAGATGGTGTAAAATATGGAGTAGAATAAAGTTTGAATTGAAATTGAAGAGTAGGAATAAAAGCTTCCAAACTTTAAGTCCAGAAGGAATAAAAGCTTCTGAGATGCGCTTTATGCATACCTATTATGGACATAAACATATATGTTTGCTGTTTATTTAGATGTTGGCATACAATATCCTTTCATATTTATATAAACTTAGTGTTTATATGGTGTAGTATTTGGGGAAAGAGATGGTGATGATGATGATGATGATGATGATGATGATGATGATGATGATGATGATGATGATGATGATGATGATGATGATGTTTATATATGCATATATATGCAAAATGTAACATGAATTTTGAATAAAAAAATATACTTTAGGATGTATAAATGTTTCTGCAACCTTGGTTACAAACCCGGCTCCTTCATATTTATATAAACTTAGTGTTTATATGGTGTAGTATTTGCCGAAAGAGATGATGATGATGTTGATGATGATGATGATGATGATGATGATGATGATGATGATGATGATGATGATGATGATGATGATGATGATGATGATGATGATGATGATGATGATGATGATGATGATGATGATGATGATGATGATGATGATGATGATGATGATGATGATGATGATGTTTATATATGCATATATATTCAAAATGTAACATGAATTTTGAATAAAAACATATACTTTAGGATGTATAAATGTTTATGCAACCTTGGTTACAAACTCGGCTCCTTCATATTTATATAAACTTAGTGTTTATATGGTGTAGTATTTGCCGAAAGAGATGATGATGATGTTGATGATGATGATGATGATGATGATGATGATGATGATGATGATGATGATGATGATGATAATGATGATGATGATAATGATGATGATGATGATGATGATGATGATGATGATGATGATGATGATGATGATGATGATGATGATGATGATGATGATGATGATGATGATGATGATGATGATGATGATGATGATGATGATGATGATGATGATGATGATGATGATGATGATGATGATG